ATTTAAAAAATAGAAATTCTTAAAAAAATTGTAAATTATTGTAATTAATTGTAATGATAAATTGTAATCATAAATATTTATAATTGTAAAGTAATCGAATAATCTTTAATTTTTAATGACATTTCGCGAATTACGAACAAATGCTACATATAAACTTCTTCAGATTATTAATATTGATTATTAGTTCTTGATAATATCACAATTAATATACACACAAAAAATATTTTAATATTTTAAATATATGTATAAATATATAAATAAATATTAATTGATATTTCAATTAATCATCAATTCAATCATATCAATTAATATTTAAATATATATATATATATATATATATATATTTATTATTTGAGATATTAAAATATCTTTTTATGCATATTAATTGTGATATTATCAAGAATTAATAATCAATATCAATAATCTGATGGTTTATATGTAGAATTTGTTTGTAATTAACGAAATATCGTTGAAAAATTAAACATTATTTAATTACTTTATAATTATAAATATTTACTACAATTTATAATTACTAGTAAGTTTTTTTAAAGAATTTCTATTGAAATTTAAAGTCTTCTTATAATAATTATTATTTATATAGTAATATATTGGAAAACTGATATATATATAGCAATATATATTGAAAGATAATATAGTATATATATCGCTTGTATATAATAACATGTAATAGACAAATACATATACAATATATATATATATATAGTATGTATCCAATATACATACATGTACATACGTGCTATTGATTTGTACATATACAATACATTGACACAATTAATTACATCGGGTTTCCTTCTACCGCAGATATCCTTCGTATGTTCGCCTCGTTTCAGAAAAAAACTCATTCTCATGAATTAAATTCTTGCTATATACAAAAATGTTGTGAAGAAATCTCCGATCTCGCTGTCATACAAATAAACTTTGATGATCGTCGCACAAGCGATCCAAATGGTACTAAAAACTCGATATTCTGCATTTGAAATGTGAATATCATTATGAATCTGAGCGCAACACCGGTACTATTTTTATTGGTAATTCATTCGCGAAAAAAGCGAGGCATTATTTTCTTGCAATTTTTATCAAATTTCAATTACGTCGTTGACTAAAAGTAGAATGAATAACGAGGCATTTACGTATGCGAAAATGATGCGAATTACTCGTCTTAAATCGTGAAATCGAACTGATGGACCTTTAAAACCGCGTCAATAAGTACGCTTTCGTTAAAACCGCGAGCTTACATTAAAGAAAATCACAAATTCACAGAGCATTAACCTCGCGTTCGCGAAGGCGATAGAATACGATGGGATGGAAAACGCAAAGGGTGCGAGAGGTAGCGGAAAGACGAGTAAACGGGATGGGGTGAAAAGGAAGGGGGTTGAAGAGGAGGAAGGTACGTGCGGGAAGTATGCGCTATCTGCAGGATCCATGCTATTTGCGTAAAGTGGCCTAATCTATCCCCATTGCCTCCTAACCGTCCTTCCCTCCAGCCTCGATTCCGCGGTAACCATCTACGTTTAGACGGCCTAGGAGATAATACATTGTTTGCTCTTCGTTCGCTAAACTAAACCGCATTCGGAATTAATTGCACGTTAGGAGCCCGCGAGATAATTAAAGCCGCCCCGATTGCCTTCCATGTTATCCTAGATACGTTGTTAGAAAACGCCATTGTTGGACATTTTCATGATTACATGTTGTAAAATCTATATTGACGGATGTATTTTGGTATAATTTTAGAATATTATTAGCTTCTGCTTTAATATATTCACGATATACCGGTAGAGATGAGATTTACTCTCGTGTGCCGATTTATTTTCTCTATATGCGAGTGATTCATTTCAAAATCTTTCTTCTATTATAATACAAAGCTCGAGTTCGTGTCACATATATTTAAATTTCTCGAGAAGAACATTATGATATATTTTTAATGTTAGTCTCTATATTAAAAGTGAGAGATACATATTTAATAATATACATCCGTTCTCGTTACACCTTTCATACATCGTGCTAAAAAAAAGCTAAAGAGCTTTATTCAATATGATATATTATGCGGCAAATGAAACCACGTAATAGTTACATTGCTACATTTTGATCTTTGTTAAACCTTCGAGGTATGTAATCTTGATTTAGCTTGTAAAGCTCCGTAAAATCCTACGATTATGCCCGAACATTTTCCAAGACCGTACGCGAGAATCGTCGTCGAGAGCGATTTGCAAAGACCCGAGGGAACCCGTGATGTACGCGCGGCTCGAAATTGCGAGGACGAACACGCCGAGCGATAATCGGATCGATCATACCGGGGAATGACTCGCCTGCCGAAGGAAATTGGTCGTTAGTCATTCCACCTGGCCTCCTCCGAGCAGGAAACAATTACGGATTCGCAGTCAACAGAAGCGATTCGCGCTCGCTACATTCCGAGCGAGAAAGAGAGAAAAAGAGACCGGTTACAAATTGTTCTTTCTCTCTCTCTCTCTCTCTTTCTCTGTCTATATATTTCTCCCTATTTCTCTCTCTTTCAATTCGCGTTCGAGAAAAGCAAACGAGAAGGCAAACACAGCGGCCAAGCCCATCTCTATCGGTCGATAATCTATACGCTTTTTTCCCCGCGGAGAAACGCCCACGTCGAAGACCGGCAAGAAGCCATTGTTTCTCCGCGTACGGCCGGTTTGATTGTGCTAATGAAAAATGGGAAAGTAGTAAAACCGAGCCAATAAGAGAAGGGGTCCCCGTCTATGCCACCCACGAGGAGAGCTCGGCTGCCGCCGTTGCGCGGACGTGGAAGAAAGGACGAGACGAGAATTGAACGGTATCCAAAAGCGTTCATAAACGAATAACACTCATAAAAGATAAGATATCGAAGGATTATATCCATTATCATATATCCGGATACTGGAAGGACTTTTTTCGTCTGACTTTTTTTGCGCCATTTCTCTGACGTATGACGGATATCAGTCCCGAGTTACCCGCTCGCCGACTGCACTATCTGCGAAGTATTCTATACTATATCGCGAACGCGAATGATATATCGTCTGCAAATACCAAGTTATGTACACTAGACGGGACTATCAATCATTTCGCAAAGTATAATAAAGAAGTGGTTTTTAACTTTAGATTTTCAGAAATTATGTAGTATAACGTGATGTTACATTATTTCTATACTCTCGTCATGTATAAATTTATATGTTGTAAATAATTTTCTTTACCTGTAACTTTTCTGGTTCAATTTATCTGATTTTTACTTACATTCGCAAAATTATTTTCATTATGTAAATTCACTTTCTTTAAAATTTTGAAAATACTATCTTCTATCAATAATAATATTAAATTTTCTATATATTTGTTATATCGTTTATATGTTTATTTCATTTGTTATAAAATAAATGATATTAAAGTGAATTTTTTTTAATGTTTTATTTCTCTATTTTTTAAAAGAATACTATACTTTACAATAATTAAAATAAAAATATTTTACATAGTTTTGTCATATTTTTCAAGGCGATGCTAATTTTTTAAATATTAATGTTCCAAATTATAATTATAAAAATATAATAAAATCAATTTATAATTTTATTTTGCTTAAATTTTAGATTAAAAAAAAAGAAACATTTGTCATACACACAGGAAATGAATGTGTCGATAAATTGCCTCTGGTAGTAAAAAAAATAAAGTGAAATATTATTTTGATAGATATAGAGATAGCACTAAAATAAACTTTCAAATTACACACTTTATCGTTACGGAAAATAGCATGTAGATTCAATTTCGTATAATTCCAATCCGTATTCAAACATGAATTGTCTGTGCTTCATATCGTACAATTGCTCTTGTCTTGCACAAATTTAATATATATAATTAAATAATTATATATTATTAAAACATTTATTGCAAAAGTAATAAAATATCGATCGCTAATAATATTTAATAAATATACACATTTTAATCGCGCATAATCTTTTACCTCATAATTTTATCATCAATTATAGAATGCAATGAAAAATATTTCAATTTTTAATTCCATTTGCTTTAAAGATATCATCGCTGATACACATATACATATATACATATACATATGTATATATATATATATATATGTTACAAGCATATGTAGAAAAAGACCAGAATATATAATTGTGCTTCAATTCGAAGTTAGCTCTCCGAAAAACAATTATGCAATTATGCATAAGGAAGAAATAAAAAGATCGACTCACCGTTTTCTGCAATAATAATCAGTCGATTCGTTGGCCAATCTTCTGAACAGCAACTGCAAATATATATAAAAATAATATATATATATATATATATATAAAATAATATATATATATATAAATAAGAATATGAATAAAACATATGACAATTGCCGCGTTTCGATAATTATTAGCTCTCCATGGAATTATTGCAATTATGCAAGGAAGAAATAAAGACTCATCATATTATTAATCATTCAATTTACTGGCTGGTCTAGTCTCCGAATTGCAACTGCAAATATATAGAAGAATATGTGAAAACATATATGATAGCGGTTGTTCATGGTTTTATAGATTTCGGTGGAACAATTATATGCAAGAAATAAAGATCGACTCACCGTTATTTGCAATAATCATTCGCTGGTCAATATCCTCCGAACTGCAACTACAAATATATGCAAATAATATGAGTACAAGATGGCTTCGATGCGGCGTCAGCTCTCCGTGAAACAATTATACAATTATGCAAGAAATAGAGACCGACTCACGTTATCCTCATTGATGATTCGATTCGTCCGGCTAAAGAGTCCTCCGAACTGCAACTTGTGACACGGAAATCCACTTATATACACTACGAACGAGTAAAAATTACCGCTGCACTGCGCACGACAACGCACGACTTCCCGCGATTTTGAAATAAGTGAAGTTATCGCTGTCTCGCCTCGCTTGCTATCGAGACTCTCGATACTATCGATTCTTTCGAAACTCTCGAACACTCGCATTTACGATTCATATGTTGGCAGCACTGCATCATCGATATCGATAGCGGTGTACGTAACGCGGCACGTACTGTGCTGGAGCACAATATACAGAGTTATTTCGGCCTATCGTATTAGAATTACGTGTTGATTATTATGCGTACAACAATGTGATCGCGGTGACAGGTGAGTATACGAATGAAATAAAGAAAGTAGATACGATAAGAACGCATGAAACGAGCGTCATCTTTCCTTGCAGGAAATCACAGGCACGTCCGGTGAAATAGATTACCCTACCCAGGGGTGGGGTCGTGTAATCGCTGTCATCTATTACGGACGAGTAATTGACAGGTAATGTCAATCGCGTGAGGAGCAATCGAGTAACGTGGTCATGGCTCGACCTATTGTGCCAAGCCAGCAAAAGCTGGCCGAGAAGCTGACCATTTTGAATGACAGAGGTGTTGGTATGTTGACACGCATTTATAATATCAAGAAAGCGTGTGGTGATGCCAAATCAAAGCCTGCCTTCCTCTCCGACAAGGCGTTGGAGTCTTCCATCAAGACGATCGTCAGAAAGTTTCCTAACATTGATATAAAGGGATTGCAGACCATTACGAATATACGTAACGAGATCATCAAATCCCTATCATTGTATTACTACACGTTTGTCGATTTACTAGATTTTAAAGATAATGTGTGCGAGCTCTTGACAACTATGGATGCATGCGGTGTTCATATGGATATTACGATTAATTTTGACTTGACTAAAGGGTATTTGGATCTTGTAGTTATTTACATCAGTTTGATGATCCTGCTCTCCAGAGTCGAAGATCGTAAGGCGGTGCTAGGGCTGTTCAATGCAGCCCACGAGATGGTGCATAGTCAATCGGATCCCAGTTTTCCTCGCTTAGGACAGATGATTATGGATTACGATGCTCCATTGAAGAAACTTTCAGAAGAATTTGTACCACATTCTAAATTGCTGAAGAATGCTCTGACTTCGCTGTGGCCAGTATATCCTGGCAGAAACTTGTCCGCTGACACATGGAGAGCTGATCAAAAATTGAGTCTTGTCGGCAGTCCTGGTCAGATACTCAAAGCAGCAGCAACTGACACTATGTCGTGCGAAACATTAAGTTTGGATAGAATAGAAAGATGGGTGATTCTTGGATTTACACTTTGTCATACATTCTTAAATCAAGAACAACCAAGCAAACTGTGGATCACTGCTTTAGAATCTGGCTGGGTGTTGGCATTATTTAGAGACGAGGTGATTTATATACATCAATATATCCAAACATTTTTCGAGGGTATGAAAGGATATGGTAAAAGAGTTTCTGAAGTAAAAGAATGTTACAATCAAGCAGTACAAAAAGCTGGTTACAGGCACAGGGAAAGAAGAAAATTTTTAAGGACTGCTCTGAAGGAACTAGGTTTAATTCTGACTGATCAACCTGGACTTTTGGGACCGAAAGCTTTGCTGGTTTTAATGGGGCTTTCTCATGCAAGAGACGAGGTGCTGTGGCTACTGAGACACGGCGACAATCCTCCTACTCAAGGCAAAGGAAAAGGACGAGGTGGCGAGGATTTGGTGGACCGTCAGTTACCAGAATTGCTCTTCCATTGTGAAGAACTACGAGCATTAGTAAAGAAATATTCTCAGGTGCTTCAAAGGTATTACGTCCAATTTTTGTCGGGATTCGATGCTCCTGCTTTACATCAGATGATACAAAATCTTCCAGTTTGTCCCGAAGACGAGGGAGCTATTCTTAGTGATATGTGTTCAATCATAGCTAGTCTGACTGTAAAGCAAGTCGAGGAAAATGAATTATTTGATTTCCGTGCCTTCCGACTAGATTGGATTAGGCTGCAGGCTTATATGTCTATCGCGAAGTGCAATATGAATCTGGCTGATAACAGAGAATTGGCTTCCTTCATGGATACGGTAATCTTCCACACGAAAATGGTCGACAATTTAGACGAGATGCTAGTCGAGACGTCCGATTTATCCATCTTCTGCTTCTACAGTAAGATATTTGAAGATCAATTTCACATGTGTCTCGAGTTTCCTGCTCAGAATCGATACATCGTCGCCTTCCCGCTTATATGCAGCCATTTCCAGAGTTGCACTCACGAGCTCTGTCCGGAGGAGCGTCATCACATTCGCGAGAGGAGTCTCTCCGTCGTCAATATGTTCCTGGATGAGATGGCCAAAGAAGCTAAAAACATTATCACGACCATCTGCGATGAGCAATGTAACATGAGTGACAAATTGCTACCGAAACATTGCGCTTTATTAATCTCACAAGTTGTCAATCGTAAGAAAAAGGACAAAAATAAGAAGAATATGTACGAAATTCATAAACCCGGGATAGAAAGTTATCGGAAGACACGAGAGGAATTAACGACGATGGACAAGCTACACATGGCTCTTACAGAATTATGTTACGCCATCAATTACTGTCCGACTATCAACGTCTGGGAGTATACTTTTGCACCGAGAGAATATCTACATCAACATCTCGAGTCGCGATTTGCAAGAGCATTGGTAGGAATGGTCATGTATAATCCGGATACCAGCGAAATAGCCAAACCATCTGAACTCTTCGTCAGCGTTAGATCTTACATGAATGTTCTTCAGACCATTGAAAATTATGTTCACATAGACATCACGCGCGTTTTTAATAACGCTCTACTTCAACAAACTCAGGAGCTGGATAGTCACGGCGATAAAACCATAGCTGCGCTCTACACGCAGTGGTATTCGGACGTTCTGCTGAGGCGAGTTAGTGCAGGCAATATTTGTTATTCCGCGAATCAACGGGCGTTCGTCAGCTTGTCCGTAGAAGGTGCCATTCCATTTAACGCTGAAGAATTCTCCGACATTAACGAGCTAAGGGCATTGGCCGAACTGATAGGACCATATGGTATGAAGATGCTGAACGAGAACTTGATGTGGCACATTGCCAGTCAGGTGCAACAGTTGAAGAAGCTGGTGGCGGGCAATAAGGATGTACTGATCTCTCTGAGAACAAATTTTGACAAGCCGGAAGTAATGAAAGAACAGTTCAAGAAGTTGCAACACGTGGACAATGTTCTTCAACGAATTACTATAATAGGCGTGATTCTGAGTTTCAGGCAATTATCGCAGTCGGCGTTGGTTGATGTACTGGAAGAACGCATACCGTTCCTGCTGAGCTCCATATTAGATTTTAGACATCATCTGCCGTCCGGCGATCCCATGCGCGTTGTCTCCGAAATGACATCAGCTGCAGGCTTGACCTGCAAGGTCGATCCCACCTTGACGACGGCACTGAGAAACCAGAAGGCGGAAGTCGACGAGGATGAACATTTGCTAGTTTGTCTGCTGATGGTCTTCGTAGCAGTATCCATTCCGAAATTGGCGCGAAACGACAATTCCTTCTACAGAGCATCACTCGAGGGTCATTCCAATAACATACATTGTATGGCGACCGCTATAAACAACATTTTCGGAGCATTGTTCACGATTTGTGGACAAAATGACATAGAAGACAGGATGAAGGAGTTCCTCGCACTAGCTTCGTCCAGTTTATTGAGATTAGGCCAAGAAGCGGACAAGGAAGCAACTCGAAACAGAGAATCTGTTTATCTTTTGTTGGATCAAATAGTCCAAGAATCTCCATTTCTAACGATGGATTTGTTGGAGAGCTGCTTCCCATATGCACTGATACGCAACGCATATCACGATGTCTACAAGATGGAGCATTCGCAACCGTGAGCTTAACCGCGAGTCTGCGAGGAAGAAAGGGTGCTGCATTTCTAACTTGCCACTCAGGGCCACTTTTTTACGTCCACACTTGTAACATCGGAGGCAATTATCAAGAATTTGCTGCTATTTATCATCTAGCCGAGCGATAATTTTCTTGAATAAAGTTAGTTTTCCAGCTAGCATCGATGAAAAAGTACAAGCTTATGTCACCGGAAGCACGGAAGAGTGGTGAATATGTATGATTATTCGAGGTTTGATAATATCAATGGATTTACACTCCTCGGCATTTTAACAAAATGTCACAAGCTTTGCGACATCGTAATGCACGTTAGAGATTTTTTTATGTTATTTGCAATAATCGCAAAAAATGTCATGTTGATCCTTATATAATTGAGATCTGTGTTTACACGAATGTTTTTATATAGCTGAATTCTATTGTATCTTCTTTGTATCGGAAGAATCTTTATCGAGGAAAATTAATCGACGTACCATTTTTGTCAAGATTACGAACTTTCATAATAATTAATAATAATAATTCAAAACGATTGCATTTTTTAATGTATAGTATTCTCTATAATTTGAACGTCCAATTTGAAATATTTGTTAGTATATAACTGCATATCTTTCACAGTTAAGTATTATTATAGTTTATGTCAAGGAATTTTTCTATTCCACGGGGATGCAGGATGTAAGCTCCCATTGACTTCAAGCTAAAGATCGCGATATTTATATATCACACAGTAGGTATCATTACACTTACCCACTATGACTTTTTAATGTACAATTGTAACTTTTACAATAGTTTATAATAAACGAATTATGTGTATAAAATATGATTCGTCATTTGTTTTCGCAATTCAGTTCCTCTGCTCCAAAGATTACACAGCGAATAAATGTAAAATGTATGCTTTATTTAGTTTTTTACATTGTTTTTGTCTCTTTTAATCACATTAACATAACACAAGAGATATTCACAATCATAATTCTTTTATTTATAATATCCTTAAAACACTCGCCGCATTCTAGACATTTTGGGAAAAGAGAGTCTGAAGCTACGTTCAGGCGCGATTGGTCAGTATCATGCTCAGTTATAATAATTTACAATAAAGAGATACACCTCAAGAACACACATCACTCAAAGTTGCACCAATTAAAAATAAAGATACGGCACGAACGTAAGGGCCACTTGGTGTTCAGTGATATCCAAGTAACGCTCTCGAATAAAAAAAAAAAGAAAAAAACATACGATTTTCTTAGAAAACAATTCATCATTCGTGAAGTGATCGGTACGTAGGACAATACGAAGTTACGCTTAAATAATCCTGGATGCACGATGTTGATAGGTCATCACGTTTTTGGATCGATAGAAAAAATATAATCTCGATTTGTTCTTTTTTTTTGTTCTTTCCTCTCTAACATTATGTACAAGTGATAGAGTAGTGTGTGTGTGTGCATCGCGTCACAGTAATGCAACTCTGGATTAAGATAGATACATAAATCTCAGCGGTCTCGAAAAGATTTCGTTCTGTCATCATTGTTTGTTAATCGACGTGATACACATATATGGTGACTTGACACATATGTTACACTATTACAATTAAAACTGTAGTAGATGAGGAAGTTCACGACCACGCGAGGATTAAAAATCGCACCTTAATCCAGATGCCGCGGGAAATGAAGAAGCTTAAGCTGTATTATGTAGTTAGAGGTCTGGAACAAATGATGAAGGAAAATTTATTCTTATCTTACTCTCCTCTCGTACGCGCAAGCGACTTCATTGTCAACTACATAACTACGCCTTGACCCCATTCCACGCTCGTTTCTTAGGCTTTTGGCGAAACGTAATGAGGCATTGAGCATCTATTTTTTTAATCTTCTTTCTTGATATTCGTTGTCGCGTACGCGAACTTTAATACTGCTCTTTTTGATCATAACGTTCAGTCATTCGAAATAGTAATGGCAGTGAAATGGAAGCAAAAGTAGTTAGTTGACGCGTCATCGTTCGACATCAGAAAGATCAGTTCATTCCAAAAGCGAATTCGAAAACCTCGAGTTTGCTCATCAAATGGCAGTGGCTCGGAACGAAGTGAATTCAGAAATTTCCGATGACTCTACGAACGACATTGTTTCGCGCTTTTTCTTTAACATACAAGGAAAAATCTCTCCCTTCTGCGTAAATCAAAATTTAAAAAAGGACGTATAAAAAGTCTCCTTTATCTGACGGTATTGTCTAAAAAATATTCGTTTTAATTATCGTTATTGTATTAATTATTGCATTAAAAAGACAATTAACACTTATTTTCGAAAAGCATTTCTAATGCGATGCGTAACGCATTAAAATTAATCGAATCATGCCTCATTACGTTCATTGGCAGTAAATCGAATCCGCGGCCTGTCACGGATTATTGCTCGCATCGAAACAGACTAAAATCGTTCAGTGAGCTCATATCACGAGCGACTACGAATGGGGTCAAACGGAATTCCTTTGCACCTATACGTAAGAAATCTCGAAATTTCTCCTAAATAATAACGTTGACCGGATACGAATTCTCCGGTCCACAATGGATCGTCACAGAAAACTTATGCTTAAAACCTAAAGGCTCGATTACACGCACGTACAGACACTCGTTCGTCATTCCTAACTTCCGTCCTGATTACAAAATACAGAATAATATTTCACTATAATACAGATCTGATATAAAAACAAGTATTTTTTTGTATTCGCTTTACCATTTGTTATGGTTATATAATCATTTTATAATCGCGCGGTATATATTTATATACAGATATACACACTTCTCGCGATTCTCACTTTCTCACGTTCTCTCACTCACAATATTTCTTTTCGCACGCCCGAAGAACATTTACTTTCCATCCCATTTTCCTAGTATTCCCTCTCTAGTTTGCTCCTTTTCTCACAAGACTCCCATATGATCCATCTTAATAATCACATTGCATCTATTGTACATTTCCACACGATCCGCAAACTCGTATTATGCAGTGTCTTTATACTGGCACCTCCCCTTATTTTATAATCTTGCAACCCTAGAGTCATCCTTTCGCCTAGATAAAACACAGTCTTAAAGTTACAATGCAGAGAGTTGTGATCCAATTGCGGATAGACATAGAGATATATATTAATCACACCAATTGATACTCTTGAGAATATCATTAACTTTCTGGTTTTTTTTTAAATACTCTACCAATTTCTACATGACTGAAAAGTAAAAATCAATGCAACATTTTCGAATAATCTTGTTATACTTATAAAATAACTAATAAGATGATATATATAATTGTAAATACTGTTTATCTGCGCTGCATTTGAAAATATAAATAATTTTATGCAATAATTGTAAAAAGTTGATAAAAAAGTCACGAAATTAATCTCTTTCTTAATTTCATATTTAAAGTAAAAAAATGCACTCGTTCAGATACAGAACGTTAAAAGTATAATCTATAAAAGTGATACAAATAATCATTATAAAAATTAAAATTGGATAAAAAACGGTAATAAATAAATCTGATTTCTAAGTAGCATATGTTCAATCAGTTTTTCTCTGATTTGATATCGCTAACTTTGAATGTGCTTTATGCATATAATAATACGCGTTCAATATTATTCACTATAAATTGATAATATAATCTAAACAGGATCGGATACGTTTGCGTTAAATAGGCGTCGATAAAAGACGTATGAAAGAGAACTCAGTCGTTATCAGATTTGGCGTTTTGGAGAAGAGGGGAGTGCATTAATCGTATCGACAAGCAGTTAGACAGCACCAGATACGATTTACCTCGAGAATGAGAACCGATCTCGTGTTTCTCGTTTACGAGTATGCAGCTGTGTACGTGTGAGAGCCCATATATGTATATAATATATTATAATATAACACGTCTGCGCGTTTCGATAAGAGGGCTCGTCTTTGGTCCGCTATACGCATAATCGCGCGTTTACGGTGCAGCCCCCGACTTAATATATATTAAAAAACTCGTTTTAATTAAATATAACTTATAACATTCGCAATAGGCGGAGATAAATTATCATCTGCAAGATATAACTAATTAATAATAATAATAATTAGCATAGCCTAATAATAATCAATATCATTTTTGTTCATATATCTATATATAATAGTTAATGGAATATTTCGCTATAGAAACGCATTATTTTTGTGTTGCTGCTCTTATATTCCCTTCATAATCTCACATAGCTCCATTCACTCCAATTGGCTAATACAAATTAGTGTAAGAATAATACATATCGTTAATTATTATACTACAATGGTACAGAGATCAAATGAATGACCTGTGATGGTTTGGTAATGGTAAGGTGCCATTTCGCTCCAGAAAGTCATTTATGTATGAAACACTTTAGAGTCCTTAAAATTGCGGATATAATAAAAATACGTAGGTAATATGAATAATACTTTTGAACAATTTGAATTTTCTCTTGAGCATATATTATGATGTGTTTGCTGTATTAAAACCTTAAAATTAGATTTAGATCCGCTTTATCATTTCACGATAGAATTTCGATCACAAAACAATTTTTGACTCGCTATACTTATCGATAAACAAAGTACAAGTAAAACACATCGCCTTTGGAAAACTCATTTTATATATGCCGCTTACACCAAAGGACGTATTGTCTTATTGCCAATTCCCCGCTAAACTTGTACTTAATCTCTAACAAACAAGTAGAGATCTCCATTTACAGAGGGTCTCAATCATAGAGATCTGTTAATTTAACTTTCGAGAGCGACATGCACGAGTATCGACATCTCGTGAAGGACGCCGTCACACAAAGACCGTACAATCTTGGCCTTAAAATGCTTGTAATGTTCGAAGAGTGAAAATGCAACGCGTTTTAACACCGCTGCGTTCGTCGCTGCTGAGCGAATACAATGTCGATCGCTAAAGCGATAAATGAATCACAAGTTGCATCGATTTAAATTACTTTGATCATATAACAATATTACCTTCACGTTGGCGAAGGGTCTCCGAAGCGTTCTAAAATTTGATCATGCGACGAGTTCTTTGAATGGCGACGCAAAAGATCCATATATATTTATATATATATATATATATGTGTGTGTGTGTGTGCATATTGATGCTACATAAAAAAGATTACATATATAAAATTCTCAGTACTCAATACTTTAAATATATATATAATATATACTCCGTTACTTTATTATCGTAACTTTTGTCAATTTGATCTTCCGAGTCGCCGTTCGCAGCGTTAGTCTTTGCAAAAAATCACATCTACCGAACCGATACAAAATGAGAGATCAATTTGATGATCACCGACGCATACTTTCTTTGTATCTACAAGTAATACGTGCGGCACTTTTGCACGATATATGAAGGTATGTAAACGCAATTCAGGTAAAAGCGCGTATCGTGTCGGACCTCTCAATCTGTTCGACTCCATTGCGCTGCATATCTCGTCATTATTGCTTCGACTTCAGTTATGAGACATAGTCGTCGCGCTCCTTACGTGGCATGGATCGATTCTCTCTTCGCGTTTGGCAATCGTTTCACACAACGACCCGTGATGCAACGCCGCGACTGCTGGTCCTAGTCCGTGACATCCTAGGATCGTCACACCTTGTTGTGATGCCTCATCTCATAGGCTGCGCCCCTCCCCCCTCCCCCGGAGCCCGAATAGGCGCCGGCGTACAGCTCTGGGTGATTGGAACGGCTGTAGTTGTCTGCTGACCCGCTATTTGGTGGCGCACTAGCTGTGGGAACCGAGCGATAGCCTGCTTAAAGTTTAGAAAAACGTTCGGCAATGAAATGAAACGCGTAACCAAAAGTAATGTCAGATATGCGAGAATAGAGGGGATTGCTGCCAATTGTATTGTATTGTATGTTAGGTAACTAGCAAATAAAGTATATGTATAGGCAGTATAGGGAAACAGTCGCCGAGAACTTTACACTTTTTTGAACATCCTTGGCGTACTGTTTCACTTTTTCTATCCCGTCTAACTACAATGCCATTCTGAAAAATAATAATTTAAGATCAACACAATGGTGATGTAAAACGAGAAGGAAAGAGTTCGGCTCCTATATGAAATAGGAAAGAAAAAAGTATTTTAGCTAGCATCCAGTGCAATGCCATGAACAATGCGCTAGGAGCAAATACAAGAATTTCTCGTAAGGAGAGAAAGAGAGAGAAATATAGACTCTCTTATTATACGTCATATAATAACAATATATACCAATTATAATTACAAATGCGAATGCAAATTATAATTCCTGAATTTGCTCCTGTCAAGCATATAGAATATAGGCCCCAGCTCACCTCTGCAGGTTATAGAACGATAGTATCAGGTAGTGATGCGCGTCAATGCGAGGGAGATGCAAACAGGAAAAGACATTGATGTAGTTGCGGGTCACACAAGAACGAGAAGACGCGAACAACGTTTACTTGGGTTTAATCCATATTAGCAATACTTTCTTTCAACATTAATATCAATGTATGCATGTCTGAGTAATGCCTAAGCACACGAATTAAACTCAAGCAACGAGAAGTACGTAGATATTATAGTTTCATATGCTAATTCACCTTTCGGATAATACTGAGCACCTCTACCCTCTCCGTAACCGTGAGAGGGTCCACGTGTTCCGTGTCCACCTTGGCTTGGTCTTGGGGGTATACTTCTTGGCCCAGCTCCACCTCCACCATGTGGATGTCGCTGAAATAAATATAACAAGTAGTAAAATATACATTAAGAGTATTGTAATTTTTTAAAATAATCTTCAATTTAATTTTTAAAACGAAAAAATCTTGTATACATGTAAAATTTATGTATTCTTTTACCATTCTTCTAAGGGTATTCATCGGTCTTGTTAAGGTATCACTGATGCGTCTCGCAGGTGGCTTTTTAGGATTAGTGGAAGGAATGTGTACGGCACAACACTTGATAAATAATCCCATAAATATGATGAAAGCTATACCCATCAATAGCACCGCCCACCAAAACTCCTAGAAAGAGATAACACAAACAATAATAAAAAAATTATTGTAAATTCATAAAAATAACAGCATAAATGTCTATCTGCTTACAGTTATCCATTGCGCTACCGAGGATAAAGTTTCTTTGTTGAACAATAGATTTTTCAATCTCGCAAGAGGTCCCTCCGTGTCGACAGCTCGACATTTCAAGAAAACATCGCAGTAACCCTGTAGGAAAAAACAAAAGTGATTGTCTCATGATTTGTTCTTTAAAAAAATGTTTAATAATGCTTACACATTTTTTACACACAATTGTCTATAATAATTCACCTGAAAATTATCGCAAGGTGAACCAGGTCGGAGACTCATACCACCTTCGGGTAATCCTACCATGTGCGCAAACTCGCTTGTACCACGACATGTCGATGCATCGGTGCCATTTTGACAGGCTAATTCGCAGAGCTTTCGCTTGTCGATGTTCGGTATAATACTGCTTGTTAAAAAGCACTCTGTTAGATTCCACTCCAGACAAATAGATCCGGTGCATTCCCCGTTGATGCATAACTAGAATAATAATAAATAACGTGTCATTGAAGTGTCGCTGATCGTTAAATCATATGCGAAATAAGAATTAGCAAATTTACTTGAGTGCCCTCGTTGCATCTAGTCTTATTGGCTTTTGGTAGTGGCGCTGGACATTCGGACGATCTTCCGCTGCAGGTAGAATTATAACTACAGTCCGATTCAGCTCTACATTGGACTCTATTGGAGAAGGGTACAAACTGGCACGTTTCGCTCGAACAGCACGGTCCTTGACTAGGACTGTAAATGCATAATGATAGTCATGAGAAATATATAATTCGAAGTAATATCAAACGTGATTCGATCGGAACAAAATCATCAAGTTTCGCTTTCACACGCACCTGCATTGTGTTCCATATTTCCTGTTGCAGCCTTTCGCCGTGTCATTTTTAATTTTATCCAGTTCGGACACTTGTCTGGGATAACAGCACTTGTCCACGCATTCGTTGTCATCGTATCCGCAATCGCACTCCTCGCCAGCCTCGACAATCTTGTTTCCGCAAAATGCCCCTGTGGATAAAAAATAGAATAAATTTTATCGTGCGTATAAGTAAAAATTTCAGAATTAACATTTGTATATCTGTTTATTTCTATCATGCTGTGTAGAATGAAGGAAAGAAAATTCGAGATAAAAATACCAGTGAAACAGTTCCTCTTCTTATTATCCTCGATAGCATCTAGGACGTTACTGATATTGCCAATGCTGCACTTTGAAAACTTGCTGTTGTTCGGTCGATTTCCGCTCGTCGCTGAGGCAAACATAATGTAATTACCGTCCAAGCCTCCCGGTCTGCATTCCGGCGGAAAATCGTGCTGGAAAAAAACGTAATCGTTATCGTTACCTCTGCCTTCCATAATTCTCGAACAGATTATTGCACGTGCCGTAAAAAAACGGACTTTTTTTGCAACAATTGATCTTACCGGTGATCCGAAGTTATGGCCTATCTCGTGTGCTAGAGTCAGCTGCGATACTTTGGGCGGCACTCGGCTGTTGTAATTCACGAAAGTTATGATGCCGGTGTTGAGGGATCTCTTAGTGGACTGATAAAGGCCGGATACCGTTTCAGTATAAGTCTTAAACTTCTCGCAGATACCACCGGACGCACCTGACGCGGACGCAACCCAGGCGAGTCCGAGAGTGCCTCCGGTGAAGTCCCTGTCGACAAAGCATGAAATAACGTTTGCGAGCCAACTGTAAATGGACGCGGGCATGATTTATTCTGTCTGCCAACTCACCTGTAAGTGAAGACGTAAGCGAGGCAGAAGTCCTCGTGATTGGAAAGGGAGTGCAGATTCAAGAAGTTACTGACGTCGATGTTCTCCAAACAGAACGGATTTGGTTCACTGTATGGTTGTTGAGGCGTACACGCCGTCTCGTCATCGATCTGATATCAGAGATATAGTGAATGTTAGTCGCATGATAGAATGCTTCTCCGAGAGACTGGTACTATTTTAGGCACGCGATACTGTTCACCTTTATTCGTTGAACCTCAAACTTGATGTTCCTGTGCTCTGTTCTGCCATCGAACTTCGTGTCCCTATAGATGTAATTCACAGCGGTGACGTGGTGAGCGATCAAGGACAATATTTCCTCTCTGGTTTTCTCCACGTCGTGATGCAACTACGAAGACGAACACGAGTTCAATATCTCTATGATGAAACTCTGAAATTGTTCTATCTCTTTCTCTACGCCGATGTCACAGAAAACTTTTCCCCTCATATATTCATATTTGAAGCGGATTTTGCGTTATGCAAGTTCTCAACATTACAAACAGCTTATAATTAAGTATCAAATTAAATTCCTTGTGAAAATGAAGACTGGTAGCTTTCTGCATTTATTAAAATTTAACAAGTATAAAAAGCTTTTAATTTTAATATTAAATGTGCGCGCAAAAAACTTTTTGAAAATTTTGTTCAAAAACGAATAGCTCAAAAAAATTCGACCAAAAATCTATCATTAAATTGCGCGTTTCGATGGAACGCACTGTACTATGCAGCGTATATCATGACGGTATTAAAGGCTGCCGGAACATAGAGCACAGGGATGAAAATATTCTTTTTGTGAAGAATGTCGGAATGCGGACAGTGTCTGGCTTGTTGAGAAAATGCAAAGGGGAATTGCACTGACCGTGCAGCCGACGAAAACGCATATGAATGTGACCATAGGAAGAGAACGGTCGGTATTCGAGGTATTTCTCTATTGTGCAAGAAGATACGGGCATTCTCCAGTTACAAATTGCCAACGAAAATTGGGTCATTATAACAATCTGCTATTCCTGTCTTTATTCCTTTTACAGAATTACAAATGTCAGCTTCGCGTTATGTACTACTCACTTGACAAATTAAACAGCAAGACATAAGAAAAATTATTGTTATTTTTAATTCCGAGATAAACTTAACATAAAAATAAAAAAAAGTAAATATAATATTTTAAATTTGTAATTAATAAAATATGCCAATTTTTCATATTTTGTATAATTTTTTCGAATCTTTTCTTTGATGTGAACTTTATATATGAAAGAAATTATAATATCTATTAAATCTAGTTGCAAAATAAATTATATTATATTCTCAACAAAATATTTTCTAAAATTACGTTTAGTGTTTTGAAAAGAAAAAAAAAAAAAACAACAACAACAACAACAACAACATATATTCAAAGGATTGTATATATTTCTTGAGAAAATCAGCTAAATAAAAATGAAAAGATATTCTTTCAACATTTCTTTCAAATTTGTGATATTTACGATCTATGCATTTGAAAGAAGTTAAGCATACCTGTTCGGAAATGTGCCTCCATATAAGAGGATCCGTTTGTATAAAGAGTGAACAGGTATTGTTCTCCTTCGATCTGGTCGCTCTTCGTGACCTACGATGACTAGGTTCATTAGCTTCCCTGCTGTACTTGTGGACAGGAGTCTCTCGATCGCCATTCCAGAGTGGAACATTTGGTTTTGGCTCCTTTTGGCTTGTTGATGAAACCTTAGGTGGTTCATCCGGCAAAGCAGAATTCTGGATTCTTTCCATCCATTCTATCACTTCACTATTAGTAATGCCACATCCACCACCATCACCTGAAAAGTTTATTGTTGACTCAACATTATTAATTTGAAGGATTGTGATTCATCCCCTCAGAATATCAATTCAAAAATTAAAAGCATCAATGACAAATTATTAAGCACATTTATTGTATTATTATCATGAATTTATCATTTCGATATTATATTTTCAATATTATACACTTATACATATATTTATTTTGATCAGTTTCAGAAGAGAAATATTATAAAAATTTAGACGGTTTTATCAATTTCTGAAGAAAATTATGATATACTGAACATAGTTTATCGTATTATATATATATATATATATATATATATATATATATATATATATGATTGGCCCTATGCATACTTTATTTTAATAAATATTCCTTTAACGAGAAAAAACATTAAACTCTTTTAAAAATAACTTGTACTTTTTATTAACACAAAGAATGTTTTAATTTTCCAAAGAATAATTTTTCTCATATTAAATTTCTATAAGAATTGTTTACGCACTCCATTAGGGAAGGCAACAAATTATATTATTTTACAAATCTATCCCAGTATACGCGCGTTTAAGTATCGAGAATAAAAACATAATGTAGGTGAAAAGTGCCATCGCGTAAGTATGATATACAGAAGAGTTTTACTCGGCTGTGCAAACTTATCGAGCAAAGAAAGCATCGAAGTCTTAAAAAGTTTTCTCTGTCATAGTTGCTGATATCAGTTCCCGCCTAAAAGCTTGAAAATATTTGCTTTATATATTTGTAAGACTTTCGAAATTCAATTATTTATTTTATTGTTAAAATTGCATAAAAATGATACTGACAAAGCCTATAACGTTATAATATTTATTAATTACTATTCTGGTATCAACTGAATGTTTATGTAATGACTGCTATGCTTAAGATAATTTATCTATAAAAAGAAAAAATATTTCAAATTTAGTTTTTTTAATTATAAAAAATATAAATAATCTTTTAAGAGTATTAATTTTAACAATAAAAATATTACTTTATTATTCACAATGAAAAAATAATACAAAATCACCTAATCTATAACAATGTTCAAGCTCGTATGTAAACAAACACAATGATAACTTACTAAATATTACGAGGCCATGTGAAACGAGCAATAAAAAATTATTTTAAACTTGGAAAAAATTTTAATTTAAAAAAAAAACCAATTACAATACAAACTGTAATATTCTTAATTACAAACGTTTCGAACTATACTTAGTCTTCTTCAGTGCGCAATAAAACAATAATAATAAAAAGTCGCAATACAATAGTCAAAATAAATTAGATAATTATGTCAAAATTAAAAGGCGAAATACGTTAACAATAAATTGAAATAATTAAAAATAGTTCAACACGAAAAGTCCCAATTAGAAACAAAAATCGAATTAAAATAATTCATCCGGCTAATCAATAAATATTTTAAAATTATTAAAACCTCGGAGTGGCACTTAAACATTCGTCCAAACCAATCATTCATCGTTAGTCAGCGAAAGGCTATCAGTCTGGCAATGATCGTGTCCATCTCCTCCAAGTTATTTAATATTTGTTATTATAAAAATTGTTCCGAATAAATTGAGATGACAATGCCCCTAATTGTTGTTGAACTTAGTACTTGACTCTACTTTATTTTACTTTATTATTTTCATATAAACATTTCCAAAGAGTCTTAAGAAATAATTTTATCAAAGTATTAGCCTTCTTAAAATCCTTACAAACTTTAAACACTTTTGGAATGTCTATAAATATCAAAACTTAAAAAATGTTCCAACAAAAGTTTTTCTAAAATCAAATAACTTTTGAATTCTTATTTAAAAAAGAATTTATAAAGATATAAATTATATTTAAGAAATATTTTATAGTACTGTTTATCGTTAAAACTATTATTAAAATGCTTAAATAATCATAAAATTATATAGAAACGATTTTATAAACTGGAAATGTGGAATTTGTATATATATATTTCATCTTGATATATTTGTACGCAACAATATTTGCTCGTTGCTATTTCATTTTAATCAGTATTTCTAAAAGGCAGAACTCCTAAAAAAACTCATATATAATTTTGCTATAATATCTCATGAAAAAATTGCATGGAAGATAAAATAAGATGAGATGCGTCTCTGTTTGTTATTAAGCAATTTCTTTGGTTTTTAATAACAAGAACAATTTGTTTATATTAAAAACTACAGAATTATAAAAAATAAAATCTAGAAATCTAGAATCTTTCTTAACAGTTCATTATTTTCCATGGAAAATAATCTGCCAGGTTTTTACACACACACATAAATTAATAAAAGCCAAAGGTGTTTCTGCTCCCTGAACTGTGTAGGTAGATGAAAATCTGGGAGCGTGAGTCGTAAGCCATTTCGAGCAAGCACCGCAAGGTTCCTAATTAATGGCAAAGTTCATTGCCATTAATTCTGAATCTGCGGTTATGGAACTCGAAACATCCACGAGCCACGCGGGAGCCCTACATCATCGATAGAACCGAGGATACGTTGCGTTTCGAGATTCTCCTATAAAGTAGGCCGAAGTCGATCTTGACGATAGATCTTCAGGGTGCGAATAATAATAAGCGAATAATAAAACAAACGCGTTCTGAAGCCGTCAAGTTACGTACCAATCCGCCGATGGTGTGAAAACTGTCATCGAAACGGAAGCTCGATTATTGGCGCAATTCCGCAATATGTTGAAGCGTACGTATCTGTGTATAGCGAATACATGGACATAATGCTGCGGCAACTAATGGCGACCTTGTCGCGGTCTCCCGGGTGTTGTATCGCGGTGCATAACGACGCCGTTACGCGCTCGTCGAAATATCTGCGTACGCGTGCGAGAACACCTCTGGTCCATTGGGAACCAACTCGCGCGATTGGATCGGTAATTCCGAAGAGAGAACGGTCTCATCCCCATACACGAGCTGAAGAAGCTATTAATATTCGCCTTCTCTTTCAAAATTTAGAAAGACCGATTTAAATAATAATTTCTATATTCTCCTCTTTTTTATTTCTTCCAAAGACGTAATTTTTAAAAATTATTACAATCTCCTTCGCCCTCTTTTTACCCAAAAAAGTATTTGCTTATTTAGTACTTTTGTACGTAACTCTAATCGTGAATGATGCAAGTTATTACTACATATCTGACAAGCTCGTTTCGAATGATAGAGTGGGAGCTTTTATTTATGCGACTTTTTCGCTATATTACACGCGCGAGGTCATTAATCTCTTTTATACTCTCGGAAGTGAGATATTTTATATCGTTTGAAAAGAGAGTGTCTCTCATATTTTTATTTCATATGTGATGATACCGCAGCAACGTTAACTGACTAGTTTGTATCATCCCGTAGGTATTCTTTCGATCTAAAGTAGAAGTCGTTTCGCATAAATACGAACCAATAACGTCGCTGTCGATATAACCGAGATAATCGCGGCTGTCAGCTTTATTGGCGGGTTAACCGTAAGCCGCGAGCTTTAATGACTTGACGTTTCGAGCGTGACGATATTGGCTGTCTGTGCTGCTCCTGCCTATTACTGCTGCCTTGTCAGTATTTAATAGAGATTATTACCATTTCACAAAGAAGAGAACAGAAATGAAACAAACGTCGACGAGGGACGACTAATCGCTTTATTTTTCCTGACGCTTGTTTCATTCATTAAAATTTAAATTATCTCGATGATCTTATTCTGTACCATTTATAGAATTGACGTACGATAAAAAAAAAATTATTACCCTGTCGCGAATTTTTTCTCCCCTACGAGAAAAGTTTCCTTTATACATCTATCATTCTAAATTTTTGCTGAAATCTCATAACGCAATTTTTCTTATCTTGAAGTTATATTTCGATAAAAGGTATTCTTTTTCGCAATTTCTTTTTTCAGTGCGAAATTTATTTGTGTCTAATATTACACCGCATGTAGCTTTCCGGAAAGACTTAACCGCGGAACATGAAGTACATTCCAAACTATTCCGCTCTGCTCTCTCTCTTTCGCATCATCGTACCTTGTATAGAATACTGCAATAAGTGCGGCAAACTCATAACGTCGGACATGTTTCCGGAGAGCAAACACGGCAAGATAGCGCGATTCGGTCAACGCAGCATGCACGGGCGGATAGGCGCGATAAATATTACACGCGATACGCCGGCTATTTATTTCAGCGTTGGCCATTTACGCTCCTACCATAAATAGGGAGGTGGATTTCCGTATAGGTGGGAAAATCCGCCGCCCGTCCGTATAGTCATCGCGCCGACTACAATCGATTCCAGGACGAGGCTGCATTTTCCGCAGTCTCTTGCGCACCTATCCAAATGGACCTCTTCCTTAACGATACCGTAAATGGTGCATGGAATTCATACTCTCTTTTTTTTCTCTCTCTTTTTTCTGCACCGTAAACTTTTCGATATCCATATTCTCGCTTAAACACAATCTTACGCCCGTCGTTAAGCTGCTTCTCGACGTTTCTCGATAGTGACTATATAAAATAGCATCGAGCATTTTTGTGTGCTCAAATGTGCAAATTTTCTGACGAGTTTCCGAATAATTTTGTTTCAAAATTTTTATAATTAAAAAAAATGATACGTTTTTTGTGATTAAAAATATGTCACAGTAAGAAAATGAAAATAATGAAGAGAAAATTATATATGATTAGTACAGAACCGTTTCAGTTTCCGCGAAACATGAAAGCCAATTAACATGCCATAAAGCAACCTTCTGTATACATTCTTAATTAATGCATCTTTTCATTAAGAGTCGCGAGGTTCTGATAAACGAATGGATGTGTTTTTAAAGATAATTACTCTAAAGAAACATGCTAGGAAGAAGAGTGGAAGATGTTCCAAGAGAAACGGAGGACGTCGCGTGACAAAAGGATGCGAATGAAAGCGGATGTTGTAATGTCGTGAGAAGCGACGTCGAGGTCGTCATTGAACCGCATATTCAAACGAACGTTTAAAATATTCTCAGATCCGCAATCGTCTTATAATTAGTAGACTTTTCATGCATGACAGATAGGTATAACAATTATTATCACAACCGGTGGGTAAATATATCTTTGTTAATCTAAAGATATTCTCTTCTCGAACCGTATTATTATATTTTCCATTTGCATAATAAAGTTTGCAGTTTTGTTTAAAGTTCTTATACAACTGCTGTTTTTTCGATGAGATATTAAACAAACTTTTGTAAACTATAAGTCCTAGTTTTTATGCTATCATCCATAAGTTTATGAATACAAATGAGTGAAAAAAATATAATGCAAAGTATAAAAAAAGAGGGAAATAGAATTATTTGCTGCAAATTTGTCTATATAAATCGTATAAAAAAGTATTGTAATTATATATAAAAATTATAATGTAATCTTGCAAGAGTTTATTTATTTGTTAATAAATATGACTGCATTTAACAAGATAAAAAATTAAATAAACATAACGTTCTGCTTTTGTTTTCTTTTTATTCGATAAATTTTACTTTTTTTTATTTGGCTTCATTAAAACCAAATATTTCCAATTTCACGATAAAAATATATTATTGACAATTTAAAATATGTCAGCACCGAAAAAATAACAAATAATAACAAATATTTTAATACTGAAAGTTTATAATAAATAGCCTAAAGATTATTTCCTCGTTGAATAAATTATATTTACAAACTTGTATGAAAAATAACGTATATTTCGAAAACGTTAAAAATAATTATTAAAATTGTTGAAAAAAAGGAATTTTGCTTTTTTGTATCTTACCTTGTCGAACGTCCACGTACGGATCACCGACGTCATCCTCGTGATAGATCACAGAATGCAACGTCTCATTTATCTCGTGCGGCGGAAAGTAGTAATGCGCCCTTTCCACATACCACGCACCACTCTTCGGTGATACTATCTTCCCGTGGAAGACTCCATCACTGACACTTCCGAACACATGGCTACCAGGCTCACCTAAAAGTGGGAAATATATGATCAAAAACGTGTATCGCGAAAGATAGAAAAAAGAAAGAGAAGAGAAAATCTCTGTGTAAAATTTTCTATTTTCTCAAAAACTCATTGTTTCAGTTTATAAATTAAGCACTCGGCAATTATAACAAATATATAAACAATTGCACCTTAACATTGCGTGTTAATTAAAAAAAATATATATATATACGTATATTATTATTTTATTGTTGGTGTTATTAGAAATAACTATATAATTATATTTAATTATCTTTTCAAGAACAAATATTGAAAAAAAAACCACTTTACTATTTATTTACTTTTTTTGTTTGAACCTGCCGTTTCGTTACAGAAGCAAAAAAGTTATGAAGGTAATATAAATACTTAGATAGGCAATACATACGAGTACGAAACCATGTTCGCGTGCAAACGATTGCAAACTCTCGCTTCGCTCGAAAAAGTATCGACGATGGTTGAAACTTTGTCGCTCGCTAAAACTTTCTGCACCAGAAATTACTGGCTTACGCAGCAACGTGCGGCTCCTACCTCGCTGTCTAATTTACTCGCCTAATCGAGACGTACGTAGGAAAAGTTATAGCGGATAAATTTTTCATTTCTTTTTCGAGAAAAATAAAAAACTAAAAAAATTGGATAGAACAAAATGAGATTTAATTGTTAAATTTGTAATTAAATTAACTTATAAAATTGAAATTATATATTTTAACTATAACATTGATGTAATTATAAATTTGAACATAAAAAATGAAAAATATAAATATATACCTTTATTTAATATACAGAATATAAGTGTGTATTTTATATTCTCTCTATTTTCTTCCTTTTTCTTTTTTCTAATTAGGTCTACTTAAAAATAATATTTACTATATAAATTGTCAAAATTGTCATTTTTCCATCTCGGAATTTTGATAACATTTACCTGATAAAAAGTGGATATTTTTATTTTTAATACATTTTTTGCAATTATATCAATCGTAGATTAAAATTCAATTAAAACAATGAATTTATTTGAAAATAATAAATAAAATTCGTTATTCGTTTACACCACAACAATTAATTCACCAAATAATTTACAATTATTTTTGTCAAAGAATCCTCTCTCAATTTATTCAAAGACATAATTTTTGTAAAGGTAATTATTAAAAAAATTACTATTATAAATTCTCTATTATATGTAATTGGGAAGAATAATTATGGTTTTAGTTGTCGTCCAGAACATCTGTTTATAATTATAAAATAAATATAAAACCATCAATATTCAAAGAAAATAAAATAACATAATTTACAGAATATAATAAAATGTTTTTTTTCAATCATGCACACAATGAAATTCGAGAATTCAACTTCCACGAGTATATTATTCAACGCAAAAATTTCTTCAATAAAACCTGTAATAAATATTTTACCTCTCTCTGTACGAAGAAACCGATAAATATATATTTTTATCGACAAAAATATAATTTGTTAAAATAGAACATTGAAGTCGTTATCATTGTCATCATATGTTATGCATGGAAAATATTTTGTGACACATTTTCGATTAATAGGTCGATGAAAAACCAGTCAAATTATTAAAAGCGTCAGACAAAATCTGAACGTATTGCAGATAGCAAGTAAACGACGAATAATCGACGAAGAGAGAATATTCAGCAGCGTCATGACGCATATTCCTTTTTCCCTTTAGATAATAGATCGCAGGAAAGCGGAGTCGCGCCCGCGCACAGCTGAGCTTATCAGAATTCCTTTTGACACGAGGACAAAGGGAATCTTTTGTTTCTAGTACTAAAAATGTTCAGTCAGTCTCTAACATCACTCTAGAATTCTTTCTCGCAATTTTCAACTATTGAGGTATACGTTAATATTCTTTAAATTTTTATATATTTGAAAATTAAAGGGAAAAAATATGTTATAATATTATTATACTATAAAAAGCTATAGATGAATTTCTCATTAAAGAAAGTAAATTGATATTTTAAGTAAATTACTTTCTTTCAAAATTAATTAAGAAACTTTAGCAATAAAATCTGGAATGTTTCAATTTACATTAGACTCACGAAAGAACTAGATATTTTTATCGACTTTTGAAATATGTATTTTGTACAAAAGATATAGTTTAATTTAGCAATAAAAATTCTTTGCTCAGAGTCAACAAAAAGTCTCCTAAATCTAGCAAGCATATAGCTCGTTGACAATAATGAAGTGCTTCCTAAGCCAGAGATTTTTAGAATTTCCTTTGATCCTGAACTGAAGCGTGACTTCTCGTGGTATTATTCGACAAAGACCAGGACTGTAACCAGGTCGACGGGAAAGATCGTGGCGCGAATACGCGAGTGAGAGATAAACCGTTCTCGTAAGCACCTCGTCGCCCTGATCCATAATTTAAAACGTCCTATTGCCTGCATGCTGGACTCTCGTAAATTATTAGACTGGAAATAAAGGTTCCACCCGATATCTGCATTCACACGCACTTTTGCGTGCCACACCTGGCTACCGGAGAACAGGGAACCGCACATAAACGATATACCTATATTACGAGGAAACAATATCGAAGTTGCAACGCAGAATATGCAACCAGAATGCATATCGACGACGAAACAAACGTTTCGGCCTGGAGATCAGACAGACAGACGCGGTTATAAATTTAAGTATGGCTCTTTGTTTGCACAGTTGAGAGCACTTCTTTGTACTTCTGTTACATTTAGTTTGTTTTGACGGAAGTTCTTTGAGAATATGCAGAGTGTCTCTCTCTCGTAAGGTTCAACTTTAGTAGCGTGTTCTGCGGCGAATTTGAAGACGGTAGCTTTCTCTTCAACGAAAATTTGATTAGAGATTCTATGTTTTGTTACAACTTTAGAATAATAAATATCTTTGTAACTGAGTTTCACTTAAGATTCTATTAGAACTTCGTTTGGTATAGAGCAAAAAATAATATTGTTTAATATCAAAACAGATAAATTGCGTACGCGATTATTAGATTATTATCTTCAATTTAAATTTTGAATGGAGAAAAACAGAAACGGAAAAAACATGAAAACAAGAAAAACTGTATACAGGATTTTTAAATGAAAATTTTAGTTATTACTATTATAAAATTAACAATATTATAAATACTAACAATAAAATTCAAATAAAAATATAATTTATCAGCACGGTTGATTTCGAATTTTTGCATAGCTATATTTTTTTCTATCGGCGTACACGCAGTCATAATTTTTTCGCATGCCAAAACAATAACATATTTTTTTATGTAACAAGTACTTTTATTTTGGAGAATAGTGTTATGCTACACAAATAAAATAAATAAATTCATATAATTTTATCACGGTAGCCACGTGAACTTTTCGCAAGCAGGAGCTCTAACCGATTGTCATCGATCGATTTCGCGTAACTTTAAGTTGCCAGTATCTTTTATGTGGATATATAGGACACCGAGAAGATTGCCAGCATGTGATATCATAATACCACGACTCTATATTTGGAAAAGTGCATCGATGTAAAATATAATATGCAAGTCATAGACCTCTAGCGCTCTATAGCATATGCACAAGACATCTTTGTGCACAGCTGTACTTCCCTTTAATAACGACTGCTATTAAAATAGGGAAAGTTGGAAAACTTAGAAACAAAAGACAAACACAGATAACGTGGTCGATGATAAAAATATACTTACTGCATCATCGATCACAGTTCCTCATTTATTTCGAAAAAACATAATAACAAAAAATGTTGCAATTTTAAGCTTACTGAAGTAATAATGAAAACTGTGAGAGAATAGTCATAGATTAAAAATTTTATTTCATGTCAATTCTATTCTTTCTCTCATTAAAAGAATACCATTGAATCGCAGACAATTGTAAAAAACAAAAAAATACTTTTCTTCCGCATATAGAACAATTATAATTAATTCTATAGAACAGTGCTTTTGTTCGGGTGCATTAGACTTGCATTCGTTTCTGAAATTTCCACGTAGAATCAAAATGAAAATGTAACCTTATGTAATTTTATGATCCTTCTATTTTATTATTTATATTACAACAATTTTGTTCGCACACATCTGTATGTAGTGTATGTATAAAATATCGTGAAATATTTTAAAATGGCTATTCTTTTAATCGCAAACTTTCAGAAACGGATGTGAAATAAAAAATCCAAATATTTTTTTTTACGTACCGACTAGATTGCCTAGGTAAATGTGGGAGACGCTGTCGTGATGCCTCTCTCCCGTAGATTCTTCAATAATTAGATTGTTACTAAATGTTGTCAAATCTCGCTTTAATCGAATGTGGAAGTCTTTGCCGTGCGCGCGGAACTTCAACGTCACGGTACTATCGCGATTGATCGACCTCTTCGCCCTCAGGTGACTTCGATGGACCTCCTCGACGGGATATGACAGCGTTTCGTAGTGGCGGATGTACTCGTTCAACCGGCGAGCTGTAACAAAAGCAACAATAGGCTCTTTAAAACACGCTGGTTAAGATCTTGATCTAGAATCTAGAATACTTCTTGAATTATAATATAATGCGCCAGGAAGAAGCATATTCTTTTCTGCACCGTATTTGAGAAAACCCAACCCTAGCATACATTTTTAATAAGTTAATCCTTTTATAATTCGGATTCCTACTCGTCGTACAAATCTTAAAATTTTAAGTAGTCTTAATGTAATATAATTCTTCGACGAGTAAGATTCGCTATGTAAAAATGTACATAGATAGCTTGGAAAACAACGTTATGCTATAAATATGCAGAATATCGCAACTGTCGCGTACTTCCTTCGACCTACAAATAACAGATAATCATATTTCATTCTTCCTAGTTTAAAGCGCGTATCAGATAAATAATGGCCGGCCAAACTCGGGAGCTACAAAAACACTGGAAAGGAGTTTTCTGAGATAGTCGCGTAATCAGGTCGATCGAATAATCCGTGTATTTACTGCGCGTATTCGTGTTCTCATCAGAGCTTGCCCGACAAAGAGAGATAGACTTTTTTCGCTCTAATAAGCTGCCAGTTCAGCCAGATCTCACACATCGCAGGATAAAAATGCGGGACAATCTGATCCAAGACGATTGTCGTCCTCTAGGGGATCGTCAAATCAAATCCCTCTGGAGATTTGCCGCAAATATTGTGTCGCATTCAGTAGGGTTTTCTCACGATTACGTTAACGAGGCAAAAGTACTCCACAGAGAATGACCCAGTAAGGGTTTCTTTTTTTACCCGGAATTTTCCTCCCACGCGAGTTTGAGATCACTATCGTAATTTCCGGAGGCGTAGTACAAATTTATATTAAATGACAACTTTCTTGTGAAAAAAATCCGGAATATAACAGTGCGCGACAAAAGAGTGGCAACGGTGTCATGCCACGTGGAAAGCACCCGTAATTTGCCTTGCGTATCTACGAGATGTCGGAAAAGCGCCGCGATTTTCTTCTCACCGTCCCGGAATCCCGAAATTTCTTCCGCGAGAGACGCGCGCTTTACTACTTTTCTTTCTCTCTCTCTCTCTTTCTGTTGGAACAACGCCATCGTAGTATGAATATTATACAGGGCAAAAATGCACTTTCCTCGTCGCGTCATTTAGCCGATTTCTAAAGAGCACCCAGCAAGCACCTCGCATTATGCTTTACGAGACACGCGCGCGCTCTCCGCCTCGCATTCGCGATAAGTGCAATTGCGCAAATGAGAAATGCCGGTCGATACCAGACGCATAACTTTTAACGTTGATCACGGTAAATGAGGCACGAAATTCTCCAAGTACTTAATACTTTCGAGCCTGTTTACCGAACGATGCCAAACTGTGTCACGCTGAGCGAAGATGTCTGTGATTGCTTATAGTATATATGTCGTAAAAGCGCATCACGCGATGTAAGATTAATTCTTATGAGAATAGATATTCTTCCTTCGTCTCTGCATTTTTACACGCTATACCTACTAATATTATAAAGAAAGAAATTCCATTATTCCGGAAATTATCGTTTCTATTTTATGTAATTTTTATGAACCATAAAAACCATTTTATAAAAACTGCAAAGAATTTACGAAGAGTCGAAAGGTAGAAACAACTTGCGCTACTGAGAAGAAAATAAACTGTCTTACATTGAACATTTAATTTCATTATGCGAAAGAATTATGTAATACTGCATTCAGTATCTGGGAAAAATTATAAAGGTACTTATTTAAGAACATTATGCGTTCGAAAGTTATAATTAACGTTCCATTAAAGATCGACAAAGTGCATTGTTCATCTTTCTACTATCTATTTTGATACTTAATGACATCCTTCGAACGTATTTAGCGCTGCAATTTAAAGATATTAAAAAGAACTCTAATATCGCGATATTAGAATAAAGTAAAAGCTAATTATATTTATAATTATATATATTTTACATCTACTAGCTGATAGCGATTGGAAAATTGATTCTTATAAAAGCGGAAAATCTATACTTTATTTAAGTACAAAGAAGTCGAAGAGAAAAGAAGAAAATATTAAGACTGTCTGGTTTCTATTCTCGGACTGTAGTATCGGAATAAAAGGAAAATCCAGGTACGAAATAAGCTGATTGTCCACCCTCGTCTCTGGACGAGGGTTCTATCCCTCATCCGCCGGACCAAGTCATCGTAGAAAATGTGAAACCAAAGGCTTATCACTCAACGTTCCATCCATCTGCGTTAATGGAAACATCGTTCATTTATTGCATAATAACAAGATAATGTCAGCCTAGCATGCAATCAATAAAACAATTACAATCTCTTTATATGTATGCTTCCAAAAGGAATATTATATTATATAATCTCTCTCGATCATATTAGCTACCGATTATGTATACGCGGTATTTGTATCAAAGTGTGAGAATCGATTATAAGCTTATATTTTTTTTAATAAATGTGAAATCAATTGTCCCTTAATAAAAAAAACTTTAATCAGATTTCGGTATTTTCCGCCTTTAATTTTCAACGGAATCAAAATTATTAAACGAATACAATATCACCCATAGCTTTAACAAAATAATTATAAAACTTTTGTAACATTATAAAAATAATTAAACTTTAAATTATTTAAGTTAATTCGATCGATTTATACTTTCTTTTCCAAGCCATTAATTTTTAACGTTAAATACTTAATTTCATAATTATATTGCTATATTAAATAAAATTAGCTTACAAAATCATTAAGAAATAATATCTCAATAACAAAATTCTTATATATTTTTTTCGGCGAACATCCTGCACATAAAAATTCGGAAAACGAAACGCTGTGACTCGCTTCTACATTTCCATCCGCTCTCGGATGAATAGAAGGATTCGAAACGAAACATGAAAACGTATCGACATCTAAAGCTGCAGGGACACATATGATGCATGAGACAGACTGCAACGACGTACCTTTTTATGCATTGTAGCTGGAGACGGATCGATATGCATTCGTATAGCGTTACTAGTTTATCTCAGAGCGTGAAAATTCCGCTGGATGCAGCGTGAAGAAATAAATCAAACACGTCGGCATCTTTTTGCCGTGCCGAAAAAAAATGTGGCTGCAACATCTAACGAACAGATGATATTTCAAATCTGTACGAAATCGTACAATAAAACCTAATAGTTTGCATCCTATAGTGAAAAACAATATTTTTAATTTGCTGATTAAACTAGAGAACGTTCACATTTTTTGACAGTTAAATAAAATTAGAATACTATTACACAAGGATAAAATACAAATACCAAAATACTGTTTGAAATGCATTTTATTTGACATATTCGAAACGAATCTTCTCACTTTTCAATTCTCCCCAATAATCAAATATTCAACAAACAATGCGATAGAAATGCTTATTTTGTTTGTTATTTGTAGCTCAGAGTAAAAATTAAATACAGCAAAAAAAATAGCTTTCCTCACATAATTCTATCCAGACAGAAGAGACATCACAAAATTGAAGAGTCATTATCCAGCTTCGCTGTAATCTCATCCGCTTTTGTAATCCTATTCACTTTCGACAGAATGTAATAAATGAAATAAATCGTATTCTCGATGCAAGCGCGATTTATATAAACCGTCGGGAAAAATATTTTGATATCTGAACATAGAATAAAATGAAAAATCTAAGTATAGGTATAAAATAAAATAAAAACTTTGATTTATCAATACATCGAATAATCAATAATCAAAGTTGTATATGTATAACAAAGAAATGTATGTGACAAAGAAATTAAAATCTTGCATAAAAATATAATTAAACTCCTCTTTGCTATTACAGACCATCTGAAATCGAAGCATAAGCTTTGGTTCCTCAAGTATCCGCCGCTCTAATTGCGAACTATTTTCTTAAGTCATATTTATCGTTAAGCAATATTTACCCAAGTTTTAATTATGCCTTATAATGAACATCTTCAATATTTCATCGCTGAAAAAATAATTCCGGCCCCACGAGATAATGACAAAACCCATTTTCGGAGCAAAGGGTCGGTTTTGCAACTACTTTAATGTCGACGTCGAGGAGAAAGAATGAAAAGTAATATTTCGGAGAAACGAAGAGGGAGAGAGAGAGAGAGAAAGAGATGATATCGGAAGATGAGGAACAGTAACCTCCCCTCCGCTTTTCAATTTTCCGAGCGGTGTCTTCGGCCGTCTCGCTATTCTTTCGCGCGAATTGCATCGAAAACGCTCCTCGGAGCGCCATGATATTTGGATACGAAGATGAAGGAGCCCCAGGGCCGAGAACAAAAATGCAAATTGTGCGTCTACCCGATGATACCGGCGGGAACCATCAATCCTCTCGTTGCCGTGGCGTGACAGAAATTGCATTGTTTAACCCTCTAACACACACATATATACATTTGGAAACATGAAATAATCGTACTCTCTGCAAATTATCAAGCAAAAATACGCGCTTATATAATTTGAAATAAATTATTTCAATAAAATGTTTATTTCGTTGCGGTTCAAATCTTTCGTGCTTTTTGTCAACTGACAAATTTAAAGGCGATATTTAGAAGAAAAATTAATCTCTTTTTCAGTCTTATAATTGATAACAGAATTGTAGGACGCGATTATTTTTAAATAGATGCAAAACATGATTTAAACATGGTTTATTTTAAAGTTTCATTATATTCTTCAAAATTTCATTATTCTCATAATCTTTGATTTTGTACAATCTTAATTTTAGAAATCTTTCCTACAATAAATTTCTGATTTTAAACAATTCTCTTGAAATCTTGATTCCTCAATTTCACGTCCGCGCAGATAAATGCACATAATTATATTGGATACGAAATCTGCTTTGGTCACAAGCGAACACGAGATCGTCACGTTCATTATGTCGGAACAAAATTAAATCCCAAGGTAGCGTGTATCAGATGCGGTTATTGAAGCAAACGGGTCAGTGCACGTGCCATTATGCTCTTTGACGTTTCGTGGGCGTAAATATCTAGAACCATACCACTTT